ACATCTGGAGCACCACTTGAACACCACTGGCATTGACAAAATCACCATCAGTCAATTGCAACAGGCAACTTTACCTGGAACAGCTTACATCCTGCAATGATACCTTTAACACCATCAAACAACAACATCTTACTATCCCAGTTCCTTGGGAAGGACTCGATAGGTGGATAAAAATGCCAAATCCAGTCTAAACATCTGACTGATTGTGCAACCAACAACAACAACAATAAAAACAGCTGACAAAGAATAGGCTCCATAAAAGCAGTAAGAAGTGATTGATATTCTCAGCAATGGCCACTTGAGGGTTTTAACATCGGCATTATCAAGACCAGTAGAAAATTGATAAAAGTTTCTGCAGGAGACCTCTGAAATGTTAATGGTAACAATGGTAGGCAAGGGGAAATAATTTGTTAAACATTTGTTGTACCGAGCAATATATAGTACAAAATTGTTTTAGTTTGATATCAACTTAATCATCAATATTTCCCCTCAAAGAAGCTTGGAAATTGTAGCTTGGTGCAGATTATGAGAATTTCATAGAAACTCTAGCTTCTTCACATTTGCAGTTCCTAAGATTTATTATTATTATTAATATATACTATCCTTTTTATTTATCTAATAAGTCAGTGCTATATCCATGAGATTCATATATCATTGAAACTCCCACCTAATTCAGTTTCCATGATATAATCACACATCATGCTAACTGAACCCTAACCTAGCATAATGCAACAATGCCTCATTTACTCTGGCCTTCAAAGCATGATTGCACAACAGTTCAGAAAGGCAAACATTAAACCATCCTATACTAAAACCACACTGCCTTAATGTAACAAAATCCTCTCTTCCCAGTCCCATGGCCCAACCAAACCCATGTTCATCAGTATATATGATGTTTATTGGGAGCCCAATCAGATGAACTGGCACGGGAACAAAAACAAAATGCTGGATAAAACAGGATGCCCAATAGGTAGCATATTAAAACGTTCAGTACAATGTACCAGTTGGAGTCCACAGTTGCCTGTGATAAAATTTGTCAATTAACTTGGGAGAGGCCTTTCCCCACTGCACAAATGCTAAATAATAAAAGGAAAAGTTCTACCTCAGTCTCAAATGTGTGCAGGAAAGATTCTTCCTTAAAGGGTTCTGTCTTTAGACGTTCTGCAACAGAAATACCAAAATAAATAGTGAGAGAGCTCCAAACTAGCCAGGCCTGCAAGCTAAATTTAAAAGACAACTCAAATAGTCACATCCACATCTGAAAATCTATAAAAGGATAAGCCAACATTTTGACCATGCGTTAAGCCCAACGAATGTGAGATCACAGTCCTCAATAATAGGCACACATAACCCACCTGACGGAAACCTTCTAGCCATGTCAACACATGGGATGTCACATACATGGACAAATGCACATAGTGCTGAACCTCAAAAACTAAAATTCAACCCCTGCTTTGACAGAGACTGATGGGTTGGAAAAAGTACTTGTGGATAATTGCAGATCCCGAGAGACAGCAGATATCTTCAAGCTATATAAAAATCAGTGGGAACAAACAGTGCTAGCATGTGGGCAGATATGTGGGCAAGCAATATAGAATATTAAATGAAAAGTCTTAGACCACATTCCATCCATTATCTATCCACATTTTGGTGAGGAGGAATGGAGGAACAAGTAGGAACATCTGATGACCATTTGATAAATAATTTGTGATTTCTGTAGCTCAAGAGTAGAATTGCAATGAGCTCTTGAATTACTGTCCTGTCTCAGAGAACTAACCCCATCAAAGCCTCAACTCAATCCTTGCCTTACTGGCATGGACCTTTCCATTCTCTGGGTGGTAAGAGTTAGGAGAGGTGTCTATCCTAGCTGATATCTCAAGCAAAAACGTATGAGCTTGAATACAACTTTGTGATAAGGACAATGAAGGAAAAGTAGTTTCCATTTGCTCCAAACTCTTAGTGGGCCTTCACACATATGAAAGTGTAAGATGATCCAACTCAAATTTCTCTACAGCTAGGCACTGGCTCTAGCCTCTTGGCCTGCAGCCACACATTCAAAGGAAATAAAAGACCCCTTTGAGGAGCCCCTAAGCACTTCAGCTACTGGTCACTGTCTAGCTCTTTTGCTCCCTTAACAACCTGATCAGTCAGTAGCCTGGAACAGCTTTTTTTTAAAAGGGGGTGGGGCAGGGCTAGGCTGGATAGTGATCAAGAGCTGAATCCTCAGGGCTAGCATTGATGAACAAAGAAGGATATGCATGTTGTAAAGCACAGTGGAGACCAAATAGCATCTCACCTCGACTGAGAGTAGCTCCACTCTCCCGATAGTCTTCAATCTCTGCATCCTTCTGGAGCAGCAAAGATGCCAACTCCTGTACCTGAGAGTGCAAGGCCAAACTCATTGCCATTAGGGGCTGCAGAAGGTGGCGGGACACCTGCCATAGAGAAGAAAGGGCAAGGGTTAAGTAGTAGCAGCAATAGCAGAGGGCCAGGCGCTGCTTACAACCATTTATAAGAGGCTTCATTTCAGCATCTTCAGACGGGCTGTTATAAGAAACCAGCAAAGGCAATATGCAAGTCTGAAAAAGTTTCTCTATTACTTCTCTGCAGACCACAGCATGTGCTTCCTGCTTTCTTGTTGTCTTCCAGAAGAGTACCTGCCCCTATAGAAGAATATTTTTTCCCTGCAAAAATGAAAGTTGCAATTCAGATCTGGTCTCCGCTGTCTCCAGCACCATCCAAAAGGAAGAAATAATGCTCATTAGTCAAATCCAACACTACAGCTCAAGGAAAGAGAGATGCTAAAATCAAAAGGAATCATTACATTTAAAATAGGACAGTACCATGGATCCGTCTCCTCTGTGCGCTCAGAGATTTTGAATACTATTATGGTATGTAGTGCTGGCAAGATACATCTTCTCCCTGAAAAGGCCTAAATTCTATTTCATCCTGAATAACAGGAAAAAAAAGTATCTTTCTTAGGAAGCAAAAACCAACAGCCCTTGCACATCCTTCTGTAATACCCAAGATCTGCCTCCTCCAATTTAGTTCCCTCTAGTTGTTTAGATTACAATGCCTATCATCCCCAGCCAGCATGGCCAGTATTCTTTCAAAATAACAATAGCACAGAGTCTTGCTATATCTCAAAACCAAAAAAAGTTGTTCTATACAAAAGCCACCGCATCTCACTATTTAAAAAAAGGCATATCTCTTATTTCAACACAAATGTAACAGTGAAACTCAGAACACAAGGCATCCAGATGTTTGAGAACCAGCAAAAGAACACTTCCTGAGTATGGAGTGCCCCCTAGTGCACCCATGGCAAAACGATACCTTGTAACAAAACATGACTGTGAAGTATTTATCCATTACTGGAGCAGAGTTGGTTTGAAATATCTTGCCACATTCTTGATGGAGTCGCACAAATGGGGAAAAAACATAGACCCAGAGGCAGGTATGCAGCAGTTGGGAACAATGGCACATGGTGATTCAATCTAAAAACACTGGCAATTTCACAGGTTCTGGCTAGCCATATGACAGCAATCTTCAACTCTTTTAGAAGCTCAGACCAACCTTTAGCTAAGTGTGCATTGTGAGACTTTCTTAGCTTCCTAGCATATTGTATGTATGTATGTAAAAGATTTCTATAGCCACCCATGTTATGCAGCATCAACCCTGGGCAGCTCACAAATGATAAAAGCAATAACAAAAGTTAAAACATGGGGGGGGGGGGAAGCATTCACCAACAACTTACCTGGGCTCCACCCCCCCCCTTCCCCAAGCCTTGGGGGAAAAGCCAGGTCTTCACCGC